AAACGTCAGTATGAAAACGTAAATCAGAAAACATCAGTCTGAAAGTGTAAATCAGAAAATGTCACCGTGAAAATGTCAGTCTGAAGGTGTCAATCGGAGAGCGTCAGTCTGACCGCCCGGGAACCCCGGCATTCCTGCGCGTGGGCCAAACCGGGGGTGTCCCGTGGCCGTGGGACGCCGGCGGCGCCGGGGCCGAGCCCCGAGCAGGAGCTGCTGGGCTTTACCTTCGTCGCTGCGGGGCTGCTGGGGGAACATGTAGTTGGTGAGCACGCGCTGCTTGGTCTCGGGGTGCGCCTCGGTCTGCAGCGGGATCAGGGCCTTGGACTGCAGGGAACGGGACAATGACAACCATGAGAATATTGGTCATAATTAACAATAGAACGGGAGCGCCTCCGTTCATTCCCGGTGTCGCTGTTGAGGCGGGGACGGGAATAAAATGACTCAAAGTTCAGAAGGCAAAGAACAATCCGTTTATTCAAAGTACATTGGTCTTTTATAGAGAGCATCGTGAACATGAATTCCACTGGTCTTAGGGTAAAACCATTTCACCTGATTGGTGCACTGGACTCAGGTCAGTGTGGCAGAACATATCTATGAACGATATGAACAGAAAGAGAGATAATAGATAATTTACATCCCTCTGGGACTTTTTCCCAGGCAGAAACCTCTCTCCTTTTCTCTCTGACTGAACTGAGCATATCCATATCCTGGCAGCTGGGCAGGATCCAGCTTTCCCTGCGCAGGGAATGCCAGGCTGGCTGCAGCCCTGCAGGAGCAACATTTATTTTACACAGTTTATTTTACACAAAAATGAACTCCCGGGGCTGCAGGGGTGTGCAGCCCCCTGACTCCTGCGATTCCTGGCATTCCCAGCAGAACTGGACATGGGCAATCCCGCCTGGTGTTCCGAGGGAAAAGGATCAGGCACTGCACATTTAAACACCCCTTGGGATGTGTTTTAACATCCTAACGAAGCGTTCATTAACGATGAGGAGTAAATTCCTGGTGGCTGGCAGTTCACCTGGGAGTAAACCTGGTGCAGGGCACAGCAGAACTCCCAAGGAGCATTCCCTGGGAATTCCTGCTGAGTTTGACTGCAGCTGGGGATGTTCAATCACTGCTCTGCTCTACCCAAAGTCACTCTGGTCCAGGAGCGACTGTCACAGCCCAGAGAGTGGGAATCAATCCTTGCTATGCCACAGGAAAGCCAAAATGCTGGAAAATGTTGTATATTTAAAGGGCTGGGGGGGTGTTCTGTGCCTGGGCTGCACCGCCAGGCAATGTTATTTTTAAAAATGCAAATCAGAGGGGGAAAAACCCCCAAGATTCCTTATTTAACACATTAAAATTTATTAATATTTTTGTATTGCTCCCCCCCCCCCCTTTCAGCTTTCACATTTTTGGCTTGGCTCTTTAACTAAACGTACATTTCAGACTTATTTTAGGACTCAGCTGCTGCTGGAACCATTGCATTTCTCAGGGTTCCTGTTGCATAATTCGATTTAAAATAGAATCCCAAAGAATATGTGCTATAAACCAGAGTCCTGGAACAAAGAAATGCCCCCTCAGATTTCAAAGGCACAGCAATGAAATTTCTCCAAAGCCAGAGCCAGAGTCCTTGTGCAGCTTTGACTTGTTTGAACTCTCCCTGACTGCAGTGGAGTTTAAAACGTGCAGGGATGGGAGAATGGGTGGGAAAAGGGAAGAGGAAGCCAAGGAGCGAGGAGCAGATGGAGCAAAGGGTGGGAACAGGATAATAACGAGCTTGGGAACAAACATCTTGAATTTCTACTTCAAAAATACTCCTGTGCTACTTCTGCCCTTTATTTACTACTCTGGTGAGGAGGCAGAAGCTGATCCTGGTAAAATAAATCCTGCAAAAGTGATTTTTCCGTGGTAAAAAATGACACCCAGCAGGATTTATGGCTGGATATGGAAATCTACAGCCAGGCTGGGAGCAAACCCTTCCAAAATTTTCCTAAATCTTGTATTGAGTGACAGGGCTCATTGACAGCCCCTTTCCTAAGGAAAATGGGAATATTGAAAGGCATTACCTGGTTGTCAGAAAGCCACAAGGCAGCCAGTTCTTTGAGTTTGGTAAAAGTGAAGGGCAAATTCTTCAGTCTGTAAAGGAGAATATTGGGACAAGGTGAATCCTTCATTTCCAAAGTAATTTATTTAAAGATTTGTATGCAGCATGTTTATCACACTGAAATAGCTAAAATTTCACTGCTTTTAAAAATCAATTTTAACAAAATGCAATATTTTATCAATGTTATTGTTATTCCTGTAGTTCCTATTATTAGTATTATATATCTGATTAATATTCCACATTAAGAGTTCTGTTTGGAAAGTAGAACTGCTGACACCACATCCTTTGGTACTGAGGAAAGACTGATATTTTCCTTTGGTTGTAGTGCAATAAAATTACACCTATAAGACAGAAAAAAAGAAAAAATAATCTTTGTCCCAGAGAGCTTTAGAGGAACCTCAGTGCCACTCACAGAGCACCTTTTATTGGACACGGGAGATTTGGAACAGAAATATTCCAAGATGATGGAAAATTCATTTTCATCAGAGCATCAGACCAAAGATTAAAATAATATAAATATTCACAGTGAACCTAAATGACAAAATTAAATGGAGCAGGGAAAAAAAAATCAACATTTTAATGAGACATTTAAACACAATTTCCTAAAAGGGAGTGGGAATGGAATGGATGGCAGGATATTTGTGGAATCTTCATTGAAGTTTTTGCCATAGCTCCTTCTGAACAGGGTGTTTTATAGAACCATGGAATCCAGGATGGTTTGGGTTGGGAGAGACCTCAAATCCCATCATCCCATCCCCTGTTCCATGGCAGGGACACCTTCCACGATCCCAGGCTGCTCCAGCCTGGCCTTGGACACTCCCAGGGATGGAGCAGCCACAGCAAATCTGGGAATTCCATTCCAGGGCCACGCTCACATCCAGGAATTCCTTCCCATTTCCCACCTAACTCTGCTCTTTCCCAACACTTGGCCTGGCCCAGCCATGGACCGAGGCTCTCCCAGCACCTGGGAATTGAAGGACCATTGGAAAAACCAAATCCTAAATGGGACTTGGGAAAAATCAGAAGGAAAAGCCCTTTTGTGCCAGACTCGGGGCCTGCATCCCACAGAAGTGATTCCCACGTTTCTGGGCACCTCAGAGTGGAACACAAAAGTCAGGAGTAGATGGAAAAGTGCCTCTGGGAGGGCACTGGGACGCTCAGAGAACTCGGGTGGAGAGGTGGGAATCAGAGCGAGAGGAACTGTTCATACCCCTTGGAATGATGTGGGACAAGACCATTCCATGCTGATTTTCCAGTTCCATTCCCAACCAATCACAGCACTCTACATTTTTCATTTGCTTTGCCAAGACCCCTGGTTGAAACTCTTAAACATCAAACAAGGCCTGATTTTAAAGCTTTTGAAAGGGAAAACCTCAAATTCAAGCTCAAGGATGGGGAGCACCCAAAATAATTGCTGGGCTTTGAACATTTCCAGCCAAGCCAAGCCCCAGCCTCTTTTTCTAACACAATCTTTTTTTTTTTTTTTAAATTGTGCAGTGCAGGAAAAATTCTTCATCTGTAGCAGCACACGTGCAAACACCCTGACTAAATCCTAATTGCTGACCAGGAGGAGGAAAGGACAGGGGGAATGGAATTTGTGGGGATGGATGGTGAGGTCTGAGGAGCTTTGCTGACTTCTGTGGGAGAGGCCCCAGAATCACGGACAGAAAGGGGGGATTCTCTCAGTCCTTTTAGGAACAGAAAGGGGGAATTCTCTCAGCTTTTTTAGGAACAGAAAGGGGGGATTCTCTCAGCTCTTTTAGGACAGAAAGGGGGGATTCTCTCAGCTCTTTTAGGAACAGAAAGGGGGGATTCTCTCAGTCCTTTTAGGAACAGAAATGGGGATTCTCTCAGCTCTTTAGGAACAAAAAGTGGGGATTCACTCAGCCCTTTAAGAATAGAAAGAGGGGGATTCTCTCACTCTGTTTAGGAATAGAATGGGGGATTCTCTCAGTCCTTTTAGGGACAGAAAGAGGGGTTTCTCTGAGCCCCTTTAGGAACAGAAAGAGGGGTTTCTCTCAATCCTTTTAGGAACAGAAAGAGGGGTTTCCCTCAGTCCTTTTAGGAACAGAAAGAGGGGTTTCTCATAATCCCTTTAGGAACAGAAAGGGGGGGTTTCTCTCAATCCCTTTAGGAACAGAAAGGGGGGTTTCCCTCAGTCCTTTTAGGAACAGAAAGGGGGGTTTCTCTCAATCCCTTTAGGAACAGAAAGGGGGGTTTCCCTCAGTCCTTTCAAGAGCAGGAAGTGGGGGCTCTCTCAGCACTTTAAGAACAATCTGGAACTAAAAGAAAGGTCACTTACCAGTAACCGAGGCTCTGTGGGAAGTGTAGCCCAAATGGACTTTTCTAACAATTCTACCTCTCAATCACAGGGCTCAGACCTGGAAGGACTCTGAGGAGAGAGAAGCAGTTGGGAGACAAGGTGTTTGTGGCTACCCATGGACAGGGTCACCGGTTACTGGTAAGGAATTTGGGATTTCTGGAATCCCGTGAGCGCCTGAGGCCGAGCAGCCACCTCTGGGAGAAATTTGGGAAGAGCTGGAGCTCCCAGAGCTTCCACAGAGCTGCTCCTACACAAACACCTCACCACGGGCACCTCCTGGATCCGGATCCAGCCCTGCTGGCTCTGCTGGGCAGAGTGAGAGAATCCTGTGTTCCCCTTGGAAAGGCTTGGAGCTGGGAAGATAAAGAGAGAGAGGACTCCCAGGTGTGGAGATGAGAAGTTTGGACACAGCTTAGAGGGTGTGGCATGGGGGAGGAAAGCTGGAGGCGTTGCCTTGGGTTGAGTGGAATTCCAACATGGGAGTTTGAAGGAAATCCTGAAACTCAAAGATCAGCAAGTCCCAACATCCAGGGATGAGGGGAAGACACGGAACAGAGCGAAGGTCTGTAGTGGCGAAGATCAGAGACCCAAAACGTGCCAGAAGGGACTCAGACACTGATTCCCCTGAGCAGAATGATGGGATCTGGGATTCCCATCAGCCCTCGATCCAAAATGCTCCAGACACTCAACCACCGATTCCCCCTGAGCAAAATGCGTCCCTTCTTCCAAGGGCTCCAGGGAAAGAGCTCCTGGGATCTCCCTCCTCTGCCAGGTCCAGGGAACAGCAGAGGGCCAGAGCTGCTGTGGGAACACGGGAATGTTCCAGCAGGAAGCAGAGCCCCAGCTCTCTTTGGTGTGAACGCGTGGGCTCATCCAAAGGAACAACTGGGATTGCTGGAATGGTGATGAACGTGAAGCTGGGACCACAGAAAGTAAAAAAAACCACTAAAATTCCAACATCAAGAAAGTCTCTGGACTTAATCCAAACTCTTTGGTGCAGAATGTCAGAAGTTTTTAGTTTTCATTAATGTGGGAAGTTCCATGGCAAAAGAATTATCTCAGCAGGGCAATGTTCAAATTCAGCTGGAGCTGGGAGCAACAGAGGAGGAAAATTTGGGAAGGTTCACTTCCCAAACCACTCCAGAAGAGTAGAGGAGATGATTCCACCAGGTTTAAAGACAATGCAATCAGGTTTAAGGGTTGAAGGTCTGGGATCTGGGTCACCAGACAACACTGAGGGGAATGGGAAGGGCACAGCTGCCACATCCCACCCTATGGAACATCACATTCCGTGCCATGGAACAAACACTACATTCCACCCCATGGAACACCCCATGGAACCCCACATCCCACCCCATGGAACAAATACCATGTCCTATCCTATGGAAAAAACACCACATCCCATCCTATGGAACAAACCCCACATTCCATTCTATGGAACAAATACCACATCCCATCCTACAGAAAAAACACCACATTCTACCCCTGGAACATCACATCCCACCTCATGGAACTTCAACCACCACATCCCAACCCATGGAACACCACATTCCATGCCATGGAACAAACACCACATCCCACCCCATAGAACAAATACCACATCCCATCCTATGGAAAAAACCCCACATCCCACCCCATGGAACTTAAAACACCCCATTCCATCCCATGGAACACCACATCCCACCCCATGGAACAGCACATCCCACCCCGTGGGACACCACATCCCACCCCATGGAACACCACATCCCACCCCATAGAACATCACATCCCACCCCATGGAACACCACATCCCACCCCATAGAACATCACATCCCACCCCATGGAACAGCACATCCCACCCCACATCTGTGGGATCCTGGTCCCGTAATCCCCTTCCTCTCCAGTGGAAACCCCAATGCTCTCCCAGCTGGGCAGGGAGCTGGAATTCTGCTGGAACCCAGCAAGGTGGGGAGCCTGTCCCTGAACCACCTCAGCATTCCCGTCAGTCCTACACAGCAGTGATGGAACCAGCAGGAAAATCACTGGGGGAAAAAAACGGGAAAAAACCCCAAATACCTCCCAACAGTTTCCAGCTCAAATTCCCAGCACAATTCCGGGTTGGAAAAGGGGGCAGGGACCCTGCTCAGGGTGGTTTAACGTGCCAGGGAAGGCTCCCTGCATTCCTCACTCCCAAGAAATCCTGGATCAGCACTGTCCTCTGCCCCGTGTCCCCTCCTTTGTGTCCCCACGGGGCAGAGGAGGGACCAGCCTTGGGGGGATCCACCTGGAAATCCACTGGATTCGGGACAGGATGGAATTTGTATGGAATTGCAATGCAGGATAAAATGGAACAGAATGAAGGCATTCGAGACAATATTCCAGGGGGTCTCCATGCCTTTATCTCATTTACATTTTTGTGTCCAACCTGGATCTCAGCAAGGAAACCGGGCTGGGAAATCCTTCCCTGATTTTTGCTGAGTGTGGATGGCAACTCCTGGAGAGAAAATGGAATTCGCCCTCCCACATCCTGCACTAGCCAGCAAACCTGTGCTGGTACTGCAAATCACCACACTCCTGGCACATCCACATGGATCAATCCCAAGGAAATTCAGATTTTCCATGTGCCCGTGGCAGCACAGGACAGGGATCAAGGACAGATCATTTGTTTCTCTTTTAAGCACAGTCCTGTGCATAAGGACTGTGGGTTCAATGAATGAATCTGGGGTTTGA